CTTCCCACTCCGCCACCACGGCCCCCGTCATCGGGTCTCCCTTTGGGTGAGGCCTACTGCCGTTAAGGCTCGTGCCTACCGCAGCGCCCCAGGCTGCACGCCCTCACACCCACCTCTCTGGAGACGTCCGGGGACGTCTCCGAGTGACCCTCCTGTCGCTACCCTCCAGTGGTCATGGCTGGCCGCCATTCCCATTGGTCCTCTCCGACACTCCCCGGCCCTTGGGCTAGACCAGACTCCTTCCCTTTCCGCTCCACGCCTTCCCTCTCTGTTTCCGGCCGTCACGTCACGGTCACACACCCGGAGTCGATTCCGATTCCGGTTCCGATTCCGGTTGTCACGGTCACGGTCACAAGCGGAGACGCTCAGAGGCAGCCTGGACCTCCCGAAGCCCTTCTTAGGCCTTCTAAGGATGCCTGGGCTCCTCCCTTGGCATCACGGTCCCAAACCTGCCTCTCCGGAGCTTCGAGGGCTACTCGACACTCACCTAGGGTCCATTAGCGACACCTGACTTCTCCCATGCGTCGTTCGTCGCTATGCAGTCACTCTATCATTACTCTGGTCACTAGTATATAGTAGTGCACCTGAGCAGAGGGCTCCTTGGCTTGTTCTCTAAGGATTCCCCCTCTGCTCAGGTGAGTCTGTAGCGTCCCTTCCTGTTGTAGTAGTTCACTAAGGATTCCCCCTCTGCTCAGGACTCTGATTTCGAGCCTCGCGAGGTTGCCCTTACAAACAAGGGCAGAACAGTTACCCGAGCTCATCCCGTGGCATTTGCGTCTAAGAGAACGTCAGCCAGCGAAGAGAAGTACAAACCATTCCTGCTTGAGTTTGCGGCACTCAAGTTCAGCCTCGACAAGTTTGCAGACATCATTTGGGGCTTCCCAGTGGAGATCGAAACGGACTGTCGTGCCCTACGAGACAATCTGCTCAACGAAAAACTCAACGCGACCCACGCACGCTGGAGAGACGGAGTTTTGGCATATCACATCATCGACGTGAGACACCGACCAGGGCTATTGAATCCAGCAGCAGACGGGCTCAGTCGACAGTATGCAGATAAGGCGGTAGAACAAGGGGATGGTCACGAGTGGACAGTGGCAGAGGACTGGGAAGCACGCACCCACCTTCAGCACGATATATTTGCCATCGCGACAGAGGCACTCACCGCAGATCAGCAAGCACTCCGCGACCGCTTCAAAGACGAGAAGTTATTTGCACAGGTCATTGATTCGATCCTGGAGGTGGAGCGTGGAGACAGTTTGCAAGAGAAGAAGCGGGCGCAGCATCGGGCAAAAAGCTACGTGATTATGGACAACAAGTTGTGGCGAGTACCAGGGTACAAGTCAATTAGAGCGGAGTCGCGGCAGGAATGCATCACGCAAAAAGAGGCCAAGGAGATGGCCTGGGACATCCATCGCAAAAACGGTCACTTTGGCCGGGACTTGATCAAGATTCAAATGCTCAGCAAAGTCTCGAGCCCAAGGCTCGACCAGTCAATCATTGCCGCAATCAGTGAGTGCGGAAAATGTAAAGGGTTTGGTCCGGCGCATCTACACTCACTACTAGAGCCAATAACGCGAAGACACCCCTTTGAGTTAATGGTAACGGATACACTGTCCATGCCAAAGGGCAAGGGAGGTTTCACAAAAGTCTCACTGTTCATCGACGTGTACGCGCAGCGCGTTTGGGCAAGAAAACTCAAGACAGCAGCATCGGGGCGAACTACCCGGGCAGCACTCGAACATTTGTTCACGGAATATCCAGCACCCGAAACACTAATGTCTGACGGCGGGCCAGAGTTTGACAACATAGAGGTACGAGAGTTCTGTGAATCAAAAGGGACAGTGCTACATATCACCCCGGCGTACTCTCCCTGGGTAAACGGACTGGTCGAAGGGATGAATGCGAAACTCCTGGCAATCTTGAAACGAATGTGCGCACCTGATCTTGGGGAAGACGCAGGATGGGAAGAACTCCCCGAAAAATGGCCTGAATACCTGGATGGGGCGGTAGAGATCCTAAACAATAGGATACTGCCGCATTTGCGATACTCCCCGAATGAGCTTCTATTTGGACTAGTGGTCAATACTCACCGCACACCAACAGATATCGCTGGTCAACCGCCTAGCAACGAGGAAGTGGAGATCCAGATGGCCTACGTAGACCAGCAACGACTCGACGGATACAGCCAGATAGTCCAACATGCCGAACAGAGGAAAGCGAAGTTTGACGCACGCGTCCAGGCAAGAGCACCACGGGAGGTCATCTTTGGCACGGGCCAACTAGTACAGGTCTATCGGAGCGACCTCGAGCACACGGTCAGTGCGGAAAGGAAGATAGTGATCAAATGGTCAGCACCACGACGAGTGAAGGACCGAATCAGAAACTCTTACATCCTCGAAACCTTGGAAGGATTGCCGATACCAGGACGGTTCCACGCAAGACGGCTACGGAGATTCATACCGCGTACAGGAACAGCGCTTGCAGAAGTCCAAGCAGCAGTTGAAGAAGAGCTGGGTCTTGCGGCTGAAGTGGGAGACAAGGAGGCGGAAGAAGGGGAGTTTGTTGAGGAGGAGTCGATTTTGCGCAACGAGGACGTTGCGATTTGAAAGGGTGGGCAGATGGAGTGGGGCAAGATGGAGAAGAGAGAATAAGATTAGATAGCACGTGTAGAATCAGCCCAGCGGGCGCCTCGAGGCAATAGCACTCATCATACGACCTCCATCTACCTTCAGTCTGACCTATTCAGCCGTCTCCACCGGACAGAAACCACATACAATGAATCTTTCTGGTATCTCTAGACAAAACTGTGGTTGTGATGCATGTTCATATGATAGGAAAACACTAAGATGTGATCATCCAGGAAAATGTATTAATATATGTCAAAAATTATTGCTATGTATTGATGATAAATGGAATCCTCTCTGTGACACAAATGATAATTTCTCTCTCACAGAAGAAGAAAGATCACAAAATTTGCTCCCATTCACTACTGAATATAGCAGAACTTTTGATGTGAATTACAGATCTAATAAATTGACTGAGGTGTGCCAAATCTTTGTAGATGATGACACCTTTATATCCTCTCATCCAGCAAGAAGACAATATAAGGAGAATAATAATACTTTAGATATTGTTAATATATTCATAAATACTAAGGTTGTCAGTCCAGGTGAGTATAAACCTAGATTACTAATTGCATTGAGAATGGAATCTACTCAAGAGTTTGGTGATAATAAGAAATTTGAAATACAATTTACCAATTCATCAATACCATTGAACTTTCAAACAGCCTGGTTAGGTGCACTTATGCTGGTGCTTGAACTTGTTGGTCTTCATTGTATTCTGAACATTTGCACTGCTGACTCTGTGTTGTCTGATCTGTTGGTTAAAAAATGTGCTATGCTTGAAAATGACATGTCAAATCCTATTTTTTCTTTGTTTACTTCTTGTCTTTCTTATATGAAGGAGAGGACAGAGAAAACCTACTTCACAAAAGCTCTTGAGAATAAAGCCAGTTTGGGAACTGATGGTCCTTTTATTCCATGGTTGATAGAAACACAACCTGATATCACTTTTCACATACCAGGTATGACACTACAAAGTGGCTCTCAAAGGATATTTTCAAAGATTATTAAATCAAGATATAAAATACCTATACGTAAATCAACTTTTATCAATATAGAAAGAACTCGAACAACAATAAAGGAGATAGCACATTACGAACCAACAGATGCTGCTATATGGAAATCAATTAGATCAATGAACTTTAGTGTTAAAATAAGAGATCTACTATGGAAAACAATGCATAATACATTCAAGGTAGGACTATTTTGGGATAATATTCCTCATCTACAAACCTTTGGTGAATGTCCTCTGTGTAAGGTTCCTGAAACTCTAGAACATATTATGCTAGAATGCATAGCCATAGAGAGAATATATATTTGGAAACTCACTGAACTACTGTGGAGTAAGAAATTCAATAAATGGCCAAATATTGAGTGGGGGTTGGTACTGGGATGCAATCTAACCAAATTTCATACTAATAAAGGTACTCCCCAACCTCACAAAGATCGGCTGTTCAGCATTTTAGTTTCAGCTGCATGGTATATGATTTGGAATATGAGAAATGAAAGACGTCTAAAAAGTCCTGGTAAGATATTCCAAGTTCATGAAGTACATAATCGATGGTTAATGATGATAAATTTGATACTTCAACGGGATAGAATTTTAACTAATAAAAATAAATTTGATAAACTAGCTATTGACTACCAAGTAGTACTAAATACTTGGAGTGGACTTCTGCTGGATGAAGACTCCTTGCCGGATAACTGGATATATGAAAAGGGGGTTTTAGTGGGTATTCTACCCTTGAAGAAAGGTGTTGGATAAATCACACCATTGTAGGAGTCCCACACTGGTTTTAAATCGTGCATAAAGGCATTTCCCCCTGAGCTTACTTCCCGGCATTTTACTGGCAATTTCCAGTGTACCCAGCGGATGTTCTTTGGAATGCTTCTGCAGACTGAAGTCCATTACTTCAAATGCTACAAAAAAAAAAAAAAAAAAGATAAGGCCGAGGTAAGATCGGACTTATCGGACACCGACATCGTGACTGATGATCGCACAGCCAATCGGCGGTTGTCTCCGTTCCATCATCTTCTCGACCATTGCTGGCGTCTGGGTTTGTGGGCTCTTGGGAACGATGTGCAAGAGAAACCTTCATCCCAATTGTCAGTCCCACAGTGAGCCCCACCCGATCAGAATTGCTGATAGGAAACGCTGCCAGTGAATAGTTTCTCCGCCGACTTAGATTCAGAGGCAGAAGCAAAAAAGACTCAAAGTCGACGGGCACGGGACGTCCAGGAACGTATGAGCCACGTGAAGGCCCCGTTCATGACAAGGTTTCCTGCCTCTCATGGGACGAGCAAGTTGGCTACCACGCCCACCAATGCCGCCGGCGCCACCTGAGGTCATTTGCCCCCACAGAAGCACACAATATGAACGTATGGAGGCATATCTGTCAATCGGTTACCAAATGGCTTCTGCATCCATGGCGCACAAATAGGCATCGACGATCACCGAATAGCTCAATGCTTCCCCACATCCTCCCCCTCCTGCAGCTGAGCGCTCTATTTCTCCCAGCATATGGGCATAGAGGGCCTCCCGCTTGGTATACGCGGAACAAGAACACAATCCAAACCATCTACAACTGTACGTCTCCCATCACCAGTCCTTGCCCTTCATTCTGAGACCTACCAGTAACAATCTATCCCGCAAACGCTGTTATTATAACCCAGGGCGCTGCCGCCGTCCCTCCGGGGCTCTTTGCCACCAATGCTACAGGACGTGTGGCTCCCGTCGGCGAGTTCGATGGATTTCAAGATTCCATAGAGTACTTTTGGGGTCTTGCACCTTTACCCAACACCGGCGGCGTCATCGTCAGCGCGACACTCCAAGAGTTCACATCCGGCTGCCCCGAGGTGGCCGCAAGCACCGTCTACCTGCGAATCAACTCGGTCAACGATGATGGGTCTGATGCTGGATTTCTGACCACCCTCAAACAGGTGAGCGCGTCGGTCAACTGTCCCTACCCGAAACGATGACGAGCTGGTATAGACTGCGTTTTGGAATTTCGACTCTACGGGTGCCGTCCAGCGGTACGATGCGTTCATTCCCAATCTCGATCCATTGGCCAGCTTAACCCATGGGTTTGGAGATAACGTCGACGCTGGGGTCGGCTTGTTTAGCCCTGCCGGGATGGCAAAGCTTATTGGGGCTGTTTGTGAGGCGCAGGCGCAGACCTGCGTTGGACCAGACCAGGTCTACTCAGACGCCAACGACTGTATCGCAACGCTGTCTGCAAAACCATTTGGACGCTTCGACGAAGCATGGGGCGACAACGTTGCCTGTCGCTCAATCCATGTTCTCCTGACCTCAATTCGCCCAGATGTAAGCTTCTGCTCTTCTAGAACTGCACTAACCATGCAATAGGTGCATTGTGCGCATGTGGGACCCACGGGCGGAGGAAAGTGCATCCAGAAGCACTACACAACGGCGAGTTTCATTTATTTCCATGATTCTGGGATACTAACCGTATGTAGGATTACTTCGATGATACCCAACTATTCGGACCCAAGAAGGTTTTCAGCTGCGAAACTTACTGGTAGTGCCAATCAATATACGGTACAGCCCATAAACGCGAATACTTGGAGTGTTTCTCGGGCCCCCCTTATGTACTTGATTCAAATTATTGGATGAGGTGTATAAAGTGCATAATTGTCTTCTGCGAATTGTCAGCGCGTCCTTTGTCTTCTCGCTGGCTGTAACTTACTGTCAATTGTACCAGCAATGCGTTTCTGGACGAAGTCTTCCGCTTGCATCCAATAATCGCCGCTTCTATTCATCGTAGTTCCGTCGCTCCAGTTTCGTGCCCAGAAACCTATCCCATCGGCCAGAAACACGAAGCCCGGATGCCTTCGAAGGGCAAGACCCAATCGAAGCTCCTTCGATCCTCCACCGGCAACATAACGGATTAGTGCAAAAACCTGAAGCCCGCCCGCTGGGAAGAGGGCGGCAACAACATGGTCTGACATCTGCGATGGGAGCGCATTCCATTGGTTGGTTGAACAAGCGAGATGCGTGAGCGACGGCAGCAAAAGAACGTCCTGCCAAAGGCGTTCGTTATCTGCGGAGGATAATGAAACTTCGTCGAGGAATTCGGCATGGGTCAGATGCGCAAGACACGGACGATGTGAGATTTGGTACTGCAATGCAGCCAGGTCAAAGAAGTCGCTCAGGCGCCCCTGGAAGACCCTGAGGCCGCTGACCGGATCGAGCGCCCCATGGAAGGAGGCGACTGCGAAAACCATGATGCGCCGCAAACCCGTGCAGATTTGGAGCACCTTGGTTATCTCTGCCGGACGCAGACTGCTCAAGAGAAGATGTTGTACAGTGCGAGCAAGCCACGATCGGCCTTTCAGCTCGACGACACGATCGAAAGTCTCAAAAGTGATTAGCGGGATGGTTGAGGAGATGCTTCCCAGTGGAAACGGTCCAATAACGATGGCACGGTAGAGTAGAGGCTCAACCCTGAATGCAATGCAATATGAGTCTGCGTCATGGATAGAACATGAATTCACCAGTCTTTGACGCGCCACGCGACCAGCATAAGTACGCGGATGCCGTCCGGGTTGCTGTTGACTGCAGCCAGTCGAAATATCAGCCGCTCCAGGTCGGGCGGAAAGTAAGGCTCGTGAGCTATTTGGTCAGTCATGGCCGCAGGGAACAAGACACGGTGTGGGAATGAGGTATGATTGTGATCGGATAAGCACTAATCACATTCACAGGTATTCTCGGCCTACATTCGACCACGGTGGATTGTCGCTTGTGATGCCCTCTAATGCTGAATCGTACACCTGATCGACAATGAGCCTGAGCTTCGGCCGAACGGGTACATCCTCCATTGCCCATAATGCTACGGCGACAGTGCTGTAACAGTTTAGATCAAGACGACATGAGGAACAAGGCAACCATACTTTTGCCCTTGGTAGTCAAGTATTCCTTGGTGAACGGGGAACTTGGCCTGCGGGCTGCAATGCAAACACTTAGCGTGTTCTGCTGAAGAAGTTGAAGGAGTGGCATACCCTAAATTCGCAATTCGTTTGCCCATCATCCACCCATTGACGAACAAATACGCGCGGTACGGCTGGCCCAGTGTGTCCTCGAAGTGGAAGGACAGGTGCACATCGAGGAACGGCTGGATGCTCAGCGTGAAATCCGTTATGAAGAAGGCAATTCCAGCTACATCTCCCGGAATGCCCAGATCGAGTTCGCGCGCGAGCCAGGAGGACGTATCGAAGCCAGGAAGATGCCAACCACGCCGCTCACCGAACAGACCGCCTTCGTTGAAAATGCCGCGTGTTTTGTCGGGAAATCTATCGGTGGGTAGTTTGAGCACCGTCCTCTCTTGTCTTGGGACTACTTGCCCTGTGTATCCCCCAACTTTCCCTTGCACCTTCCATGAGCCAAACTGTCCTCGGTCGAGGGAGAAGCCGCGAATGCCGCGCGGATTTCGGGAGCTATCAGCATTATCTACATGGAAACTCTCAGTAATTTGACGGGAATCCGGCGTCACATGCATACTGCCGTCAGTCTCGTTTAAACCCATGTTGTCCTAGAAGATAAGTAAGTATGAAACACAAGCAAATGAACTACAGCTTACTTGAACAACGGTAACGACATTCTCCCCTGCTCTCAACGAATTGCCAGGTAGAAGGAATTTGTCGTCTGTCTCTTCTATCACATTCATATTGTTCGTCGAGCTGAGATGCGTTTAGAACAATGAAAGCACCATGGAGAGCACACTTACTTTCCGTATGATGTCCCCAAGAAGTTTTCATTTAGCCACACACTGGCCGCAAATGCTAGATATTCAAATAAGATTCTGGTGAACAATTAAGTGGTCAGAGTGAATACCTTGGCCGCCGTTGATGGATAGATTAAGATGCGTAGGTTCATGGCCTTGCGCAACGTTGAAGTGTCCGCGCCATAACACAATATTCTCGCAGCTGACGGCGATCAAATCGACAGAATAGGATAAAGTAAGGCACCCACAAACCGTAATCGCATCCGTACAGAATGCGCCCATCGCCATACAGCATCTCTTTTGGGGGACGTTTGTCTCGGTCCTATTCGCCACAGTCCACTTGGTATCGTCGAAGTTAATGTCTGCCTCCGGAAGGCTGTCTGCATATCGCCATCCGGTCAGCTCCGGGACGACGACGGAGGTAGCCGAAGCACGGATTGGGAGACGATATGACTTGATGCTTTCGTTTGAGGTTAGAGAGTCTGGCGCTCCGAGTGGGATCCCATTCCATGATATGCGTCGGATGCTAGGCGGGAGGATAGCCGTGAAGCGAACCTCTGCCGCCAAATCGCCCCTCAAAGCAAGACTTGTTCCGTTGTCCCCCAGAGTCGCGCTACGAACGAGGTATGGTCCACCAACAAGTACACTCGAGTTGGTGCCAATACCCCAAAAGTTGCCGAATGGATCGGTGTTTGAGGAGAGACCAGGAGCCCAGAAGGTTTGTGCAGTCTCGCTATCCGCGAAGAGGACGAGCTGAGTGTCGGAGTCGTGGATCGTTATGAGACCTCCAGCCGTTCCCGAAAGGATTGATATCACCGTCCCCAAACGGCCATCCGCTAGAACGACATTATATTTTGCCTCCGGCGCATGGAACCACGGATTTGGCACCCCAGTCATCGTCATCGCAAACTCGTGGCTTTGGTCGGCTCTGCCATGTAACAAGAGCACATCTCGATTGCCGATGGTCCCCGCAAAGAATATTCTAGCGGTAGAGTAAACGAGCAACGAATCTGGGCGTGTGCCGAAGTGGTAATCCGTGACAATCGTCTTGGCTTCGCGGCCAGACAGCGTCAACGCTGGCGCAGCTAGAGGAACCCATAGATTTCCTCCAGCGGTCAGCGTTTCAAGCAATAACTTGAAATCGACGGTAAGACTGCGAGATATCAGTCGATATTTAATGGTAAACAGCAAGTTTTGACGCATACTTGGATATCGAGTTTGTTTGTCGTGCTACCCAAAATCCGGCACCGGAGTCGGGGTTTTGGAGTTTTGTGACGAAAACAGCGGGGTTGCTTGACACGGTCAAACCAGTGCGCGAGTCCGCTACCCACTCAGTTTTCGCAAACTCCGGAGATGAGCGAATAAACATCCCTTGCAGCTTGAGCTCGTCGTATTTCGACGTTAATGCACGGGACTCAGATATCTGCTGATGATTGAGAAACAATAAGAAACAAGCCACAGCTATTTACCGCAGCCCCATAGTCATACGAGGTATAAACCTAGTCGAATGAGTGGAGAAGGCAAGCTGACAATATATACTGACGCCGCTAACATCAGTGTTGTTAGCAGACGGAGAGTAAGTGAGACGGGAAACACTCACGGGAAAGGAAGGCCACCCCAACTCGTCCCACTAATTGTTGCTTAGCTCTTTAAGATATTGTTACCAGTTTACATACCCGTAGAGCATATAATAATTGATCAGTTTCGCGTTGCTTGCCCAAAGATCCATATTGAAAACCGATTGAAAGTCCGGTCCAGTAAGAACACCACAAGGTCCATAACCGGGAGAATTGGGTCCCCAGGCGTCAAACGAACCTGCTTGGAACTCTGACGCAGTGTCAGAGGGGAGAGATAGAGAGAGACGCGAAAGCCCACCAGGAATATACCATGGCTGAGATGGATTCACTCGCTGGTGGTATTCATGATAGTTGTCCACAACAGGTCGCCAAGTTGAAGGATGCGAGCAGTCGAATCGTTGAGGGTATGAGTCAAGTCTTGCCATCCAGTTAGATAATAGCTGACAATATGCTCGCGGTACTTCACCCGTAGAGATCCACAGCACCCTTCGCAGGAAGATGATTAGGCGGAAGGAAACGAAGCCAGATGCACGCACTGTCCCGTTGATGAAGTTTCCAGCTTGATTTGGGTCGTTGTAGGTCAGTGGGACCTCGATACCACCATTACGAAATGCAGCAAGGAGTTCTTCGTAGTACTCTCCGTGTCCAGTATAGTTTTGAGTAAACTCGTTATCTTTGAGAAAGATGAGCAGAGAGGGCCTTCTCTGTTGCGGCCCTTACCAATTTGTACGGCTAACGAGGGACGTCAAAAGTGCGCCGAGGTACGCGAAAAAAGAAGGGGGGAAATACCAATAACGGGACCACCACGATGAATCTGATATGCCGCCGTTTCGCGGACAACAGCTTCAATATACTTCGTCCAAGCTTGAGACCATTCCGAGTCATTCGTCCGTAGCCGACCTCCAACCTCCGTCGTCACCCAGTGCGCTATCCCTCCTGCAGACGTCTCGGCGTTGATGTACTAACAAGAGACAAGGTCAGTTTGGTATGAACCTGGCAATTGACCACACACCGGTCCGGGTCTGACAACAACCCACAGCCCCGCCGCCATCGCGGCTTCGTACAATGGCTTCAGAGCCCTGAATCCCTCGAAGTCCGTAACGCCGCGTGACGGGTTGCTGAGGCCCATATGAACGTAGATGCTAATGGCGCTGAGCCCCGCAGCTTTGGCCTTCTCCAGAATGTCTGGCCATAACGAAGGTACCGGAAGCCTCCATGTATGGAATTCACCGGAACTGTGCAGAAGGTTCCAGTCAGTATTTGAAGCTGTGAAAGGCACCAGGACACACTGTAAGAACAACCGCTGTCCTCTGACGATGAGGCTATAATTGTCGAACTTGACATCCTCCGTACGGCTGAATTCATGTGTAGCAGTCTGTTCTAGTCGGTGGTCGTGTTGGTGGAGGAAGAACTGCCAGGACATCTGGGCTATAACGCGGTTGATTATGCAGACCAAGCGCACCTTGTGGAAGACTTGCAGGCCAAGAAAGAGTAGGAAGAGAAGGAAGAGAGTTTTCGGCTCCGCTGGTAGCTTTTGCGTTGCCGGACGATGTACGTCGTGTCCGCCGACGCGTTTGCTCATCGTCGAAGGCAACGCCAAGAAGGGTGATTGCCGTTGCCGTCCGTGACAGTCAACGCGATCCCGTGATCAACATCTTCACGCATGCAATCATGGGGCCTGTGGCTTTGTCGCGGAGTCGAACGCAGGAGGAGCTCAGCTGTGGCACTCTATGTAACCCGAAACTTCCAAATGCCTTCCAAGTACGCGTTCAAGCTCGTCACGATCAACGGTCTCGTCGATTAATAATAATAATAAGGCCATCATGATCAGAGTCTAGACCCTTGTCACGGAATGACACATTTCTTCGACGCCAACCACGAACACGACGAAATTTGAAGCTCCCAAACGACAGTAAAGCCTTCTACTTATGCGCTATCTGGCATCTTACCGGGGACTCATAGTGCCCTCAAATTGAGCCAAGATTCCATTGCGAGGGAAAGCACCCCAAGAGACAGTATTTTTTTTGGTTCCAACTTCCGAGTCGGCTAGACATCCATTTCGACGATCCGCTGCATGGCTACTGGCTCGCGCATCCGTAACTCTGCTCGCGGTGGCACAAGCCCCGATACGGAATAACAACCCGCCGCCAGAACCTCCGGCAATGCGACGAACGGGAACCAGAATGCCTCCTTATTCTGGCGCGGCGCATCTCCAATCGTCGCGATTAAGAATATCTCCCTGACCAGCAACAGGAAAGAGATGACAATCAAGATATGCATCCCATACATGTCACCAAAACGGCGCTGGGGGTGAAGACCAGCCAATGGAATTGGAGGGCTCGGGTAGAGCGGCGTGGCGGAAGGTGAGTGTCCTTCTGCTGCGCTTCTTCCAAAGGCTAAGCCAGTTTGAAGCGCTTGGATGATCGTCAACACGAGGAAAACGATTGTGCTCGCCCGCCGCAGTTGCGCTCCAGTATGAGCTTTACTGGGATTGCTGCTCGCTGCGTCAATGGTTCCGTTGACACCGAGGATGATGCCCACTATCAACGCCACCCTGAAAATGCGTCGGTCTCGAGTCAGCCTCATGATGAGTGGGAATGAGTCTCTTGTGGGACTCCGAGAGGAGGACATTATTTCCCTGAAAATGAATATTGTCCCTGGTGAGTGCTACTACTAGGTGATGCATGATATGCGATGTGCTCACCGGTCCAAAACTAGGGTGTATGCTGAATACAGCAAGGCGAAGAACCCAACGCCGAAAAGAATCTCATCCGCAATGAAGATACCAAGCTTTCCGTGCAGTGACCAGGTTGCTGCCAGGATTGCGCGGATAATGAAGGCTGCGACGCGCACTATCAAATTCACGTTAGAGACGCTCTGCTTAGGGCCTGACTTTACGCACGCAGACAGAAGATGGTAAGGACGATATAGACATACGTTGTGTTTTTGACCGACTGACGCACGAACCACAGGCAAAGTAGGATATAAACGGCTGTAAACAGAGCCGGCCCGACCACATAGTGGAACTGGAAGATGGCGGCATAGTCCGGGTCTGAGCTTGAGCTCATGCTGGAGGTCTGACTCGGAGTTGGGGATAATCTGAGGTGCGCAGGTCGTTCTGTACAAGGCCCAGTTTTATAACTTTTTTATGCAAACGCCCGCAGGGCCGCAACAAGTCTGTCTCCGCGACATGCCATATTCGCTTGCTGTGCCTACCGTTTGCCGGGGCAACTGCGCGCAGTCATTGCTTTTAAATTTAGCGAGACAAAATGGTCAGTAAAGTCTTCCAAAAATAATCGCTTACGAGGTCTGCCAGTTAACACCACTATCCTGGAGTCCGACGTCTGCTCGGGGTGGCTTCGCTACTCCGAGTATCAATAAACGTCCAACGTCATATTTATCGCTATTTCGAGATGACCCCAATGGCCGAAGTTTTCGGGGGTCAAACTTGAAGATGTGGAATGTTTATATCGACCATTGCCATGGCCGCCAATGAAAAGCGCCTCGAAATTCTCGATCTCGGTGGATAAGCTGGAGAGAAAGAGAAGCCCAACTTCGACATACATCGCCCGGGCCAACCAAATGTCTCCGACGGAACATCAGCACCGACGGAACAATTTTCTCGCCGGGACAGGCCCGAGCTACCTCACGATCATTGCGCCGATCTTGATTCTAATATTAGGCGAAGCTGTATTGGAACCCACGTTCCTGTAGGTTTTAAAAGACAGGTGAGCTTCTGGTATCGTCACGCTCTCTCACCTCGATGGTCGCTACTAGTATCAACTACGCAGCGTTTTCTGGGATCCATTCGACTGCAGCTGCTATCGTGTTTGCTGCCGTATATGCTCCCCTCGGCCTGTGGTTCATCCGCCAGTCGATCAAGAATACGACGTATGTTTACATCGTCCTCACACTCTTTTGTATCAGTGCGTGTTTGCGCCTCTATCGGAGATTTTTTAACTGACGCTCTTCAGTGAGAGAAGCGGCATTCGTTCTTCGGGCCATAATGGCGAACTCAGCTGGGGCAGGCTCGAACCTCAGCATGTTCATCGCAGATCAGGTTCTTTTTGGTGTCGGGTTCTTTGCACTGCTTTATAGTGCATACTCCCTTGTCCTCGACCGGTTCGTCTGTTGCTTGTGCATTTCAAGTTCTTGGTTCTTGATGCCACGCAGCCACGTCCTTGCAGGTGGAGAGCCACCTTCCGCGACAACCCCCAGCGTCTTCCGCAACAGCCATCTTTTCCGCATCGCGCTCATGGCGGGTGTTGCCATCGGCATTGTGGCCACTATCGACACAACCAGCTCGAACCCCCACAGTGCTTCAACAGGCCGCACCCTCCGAAAAGTCAGCACGGCCATTTTCTTCGTCCTCACTGTCATCCAAGCAGCGCAAACGATTTGGTTCTTCAGAGAAGCCGATGCTGTCGCCGGCGGTGCGCGGTTCATTTGGAGAGTCTATTGCGGGACTGACATGGTGACAGGCTATTCTAACCGTCGGAAATGGGGCGACCGAAACGGGCGCTATTTGCTGGTTCTCATCGCCGTTCTCCTGCTCGTGCGCGAGGTCTTCCTGATCGCGACGATTAACGACACGGCGAAGCAGAGCAGAGAGGAGCTGTGGTACCCGCTCGTCGCGCTTCCCGAGCTTTTGGCTGTTGTGTGCTATGCCGTTTCGGGGCTCGTGCCAACAAGGGTCGCGATAAAGAAGAAGGACGCCGGTTTCAATTGAGCCCGTTTAACTTGAGCGTTGGGCGCTGAAGTCTTGATCGCATCTATAACTACATGCATAATCTGCTGTTAGATGACGAATGCACTGAAAGTTGAGCCGGGTCCACAAACTTCAAGTTGAATCGTAAAATGCCGCAATAAGTGTACAGTACTGTCGCCAAGGGTCGTAAGGGGCGTATGACTATTCATACAGCGTTCAACTTCAAGCCTCTTCAGCGAAAAACTTCAATCTTTGTCGTCAACAAGTATTTACTATTACTTACTTCCTGTCCACACGCGGAAGCTTGAAGACTCGATCACCGTGACTAGCTCGAGTCACGCAAAAGGACTCCTCCTCGTTTACCACTCGCTACATTGGACTCCGACCTTGGGGGCGGGCATACACCGAAGGACGTCTTATTCTCGTGCAAAATCCCCCTTGCGCCACGTAAGATGTGCCGACAAGTCGCCTCCCGACGGCGGCAGTCTACCGAGATTTTGCCTGCGTTTTCAAGAGTATAAATGACGAGGTCTGGCGTCGTGGTAAGTTTTGACTTGCAATGTGCTGTGTTTCTCTCTTACTCACCTCCATTCTTGTTAGCCTCAGGGCGGTATGCGGGAATGTGCTCGAAAAATCATCGAATGTCTTATATGACGGTCGAGCACCGTTGACGTTGACTGCAGACGATTTGGATAACTCGAATGGGCCATACTTAACGTGCGTGCCTTTTCCCGCACAAGACACTCATGATGCTCATTTTGACTTTAGCGCTGTAAAAGGGCAGAACGAGTCTGCTTCCTATGTGCGCTTTCTCCTCCGCTTCCAAGACCACCCCCACTTATCCCTCCTTGCAAATAGTACACAAAGTTCCAACGCTTCGCTCTCCCCACTCCGCTGCACAATCTTCCGTTTTCTTCAGAGCAAGTTCTCGCTATTTCCATCGACAACACCTCTGTTTTCGTGCCTGGAGGTGGGCCACCGCAGCTCGGATTCAGGCGGACAGAGCTCATCGCGCAGGTGAACAAGAGCTCCTCCCTGGCGGACAGTGTCATGGAAATTGGGACTACGACGTTTCATTTCTCCATCCAGGCAGATATCCTTCATCCCCTCAACTACAAGCATGAATACCAAATCGTGTTCATTGAGCCAAGCGACGGGACACATGTCTTTGGAGTCCAACTCGGTGAGCTGTTCTTCATCTCCACTCTCGTTTTATTCAAGCTCTTAGGTTCTCCGTTTACCAACCCCACGGGCCCTCTCCCCGCGCCAAACGCGCACTCCTTCAAGATTCTGGACCATGCCCTGAATGTCCTCTTCTCCACACCCTTCCTCCCGCTTCACTGGCACAACTTTGCAATCACCGTCGACTGGGACAACAGAACGCTTGCCGTTGCCTACTCTCTCGACGCCGCGCCGCTCAAGACCTTCAAACCCGCGACCCCGAATCCGACAGTCGCGGCGGGTGTCTCTGGCGACTTCCATTTCGGCGTCCTGAAGGTGTGTGTTTCGTGTCATGCCGTTTTTCTGCATGCTAATGAAGAGTAGCTCCCATTGGTCGACCCCAAGGATACGCTTGCCAACCAGGGTGATGTGGTGCACCATGGGATTCAGGAGGGAACAACGGAAGCGTTATTGTATTCTGGTGTTTTTGTGACAAAAGGCAATAAGTAGGCAGGTTGCTTTGCTTTGCCTCACTTTGTTTTCTGCATTATAAGCTTGATTCTTGATACTGAAATTAAGGAATGCAAGCTAAACGAGTACGTTCCACATGGGAATAAGGCCAGACAATGAGACTCTGCAAAGCTGGACAGCCATGCTGCGGCGCTGGCGTTAAATCACTCTTTTTTGCCCCCGCGCTGATTGGCGGGCAAAATGATTTATCTTTTGCGCCCGTCACACAGCCTCGCAAATTTCCACAAAACGCGAGATGACTCCCATTATACCATCCTCCCTTCTGCCTCCACGAGGACGTGCCAGTGTCGAGTCACGCTGCGGGGCCGCCCCAGTCAGTTACCGTGTCAACGTCGAGGGGCTTTCCTTTCTCCTGCAAATTATAAAGATCGAAGTCGGGGCGCCGCATTCGACACTTGCCTCTCTTTCTCCCCTCCCACCACCACTACCTACCCCAACCGACCATGCCGGGCACCGTTGTCGCTGCCGTCCAACGGCTACCACTACTCTCGGGCGAGTCATGGAAGCGCCTCATCCGCGCACTTGTCCTTCTCTTCAAGCGCTCTTTGGAGAACCCACAGGTGGCGGAGCTATTCAGATTCATCTTCCTCGGGACTATTGTCGAAACGTGCGTTGTCAACTATAACCAATGCTCGCATTTGTGCTGATATTCTTCCAGGAGCCGCGTTATTGGCGTAAAGATGGTCTCCTTTGTGAACAGCTGTGAGTAGCAGATTCATCCCCTCGCTTTCCCTGACCGTGTCTCCAGTCTTCCTCGTCAAGGCATCCTTCAAGCAGGGAGAGTTGTCCTACGAATGGTGTGTCCCCTTGCCCCCCCTTCTCTCCCTACTCATCTTGTCCAGGGTCTCGGCATACCTCGAGCAGCACAAAGTCTGGAACAAGTCGCGCACCTTCCGCGTCATCGCCCGCAACGGCAGAAACATCACCAACCGCGACATGGCCCTCGCGGGTAACGAAGACGGCTACCCAGACCCCGTTTATGAGCCCAGCGTCAGCGAGCCCGAGCTCTTCTGGTGGCGCGGCCGCCACTGGATAACGATCAGCAAAGACGAAAAGGAAGGCGCCTCGACGCTCACGCTGCAGGTCTGGAGCCGCAACAGGAGCGTGCTCGACGAGTTTATCAAGGAGGCCAGAGAGCAGTATAAAACCTCGCAGACTCCCCCACCCAGGATAGATTATGACTGGGTGCGTCACTTACATTTGGAATTTCGCCTTATTCACAACAATTCCAGTCGCAGTCGCTCATTGTGGCGCACTTTAACCAGGCGGACTTCAGCTACGACTGGGTCCTGGACTATCTCCAGTCCGAAAATGTCATGGCAGACGCAAACGAGTTTACTGTCTCCACAAAACAGAACGATGTTGGCTGGAACCGCGAGGACCCCAACCAGCTCGTCCGATATGTCCCTTCGTCGAACACAAAACAGCGCTTGTGTTGGCGCGGGAATTGGATGCAGGTCGAATTCGTTATTGGTTATGAGGTAGGTTAATTTTTTTAGAGATTTTATTTGCTGACTCGTTGTAGGACAGCAATGGCCGTACCTCTGGTGGCTCCATCAACATCACCTTGCACTCTACCGACCGCACTCTCCTCACGACTTTCATCGACGCCGCTCGCGTCCACTATACCCAAGCGAGCATCTCCCGCGTCACTGTCCATTTGACGGACAACTACGGTAGTTGGGCACGGGCAGTGACGAAGAACAGGCGCGCATTCAGCACACTCATCTTACCGACTGGGGTCAAGGAAACATTGCTGGCGGACGCAAAGGAGTTTTTGGCGAGCGAGGAGTGGTACACGTTTGCGGGTGTGCCCCATCGGAGGGGGTACTTGCTGTATGGCGAGCCGGGGACGGGGAAGAGCTCAACTATCCATGCTATTGTGAGTGCTGTCGTCATCACAGTGCTGGTTACTAAGATAAATGCAGGCGGGAGAACTTGGGCTGGAGATATACTTCATATCTCTTGCTGCTCCTGGAATCGACGATTATACTCTGGGTCGCCTCATTCGCGATACTCCTTCACGGTGTATCCTGCTTATTGAGTAGGCCCTTTTTGCTGCCGAAGACGTTTTACTGATTAGTTTCTAGGGATATTGACTGCGCTTTTCCTTCTCGCGAAGAAGATGAAGACGAGGAGCCACTGCTGGACTCGAAAGGCAACCCTATTCCCCGAGAGCCAGTTCCTCCGCGTTCACAGGTCACGCTTGCTGGCCTACTCAATGTGCTCGACTCCGTGGCAAGTGAGGAGGGCCGGCTGACATTTGCTACGGTATGTTCTTTCTTCGACTTACATCTTTTTCCTTACTATCATCTTTAGACAAATCACATCGAAGCACTAGACCCCGCGCTCATCCGCCCTGGTCGCATGGACCTCAAAATCCAGTATGGCCTCGCAACGACAGAGCAACTGGAGCAGATGTTCGACCGGTTCTACCCATACAATGCCGAGCTCGCGGACGATGCGGGCCCCGCAATCGGATGCTACTACGACTCGAGCGTTGCGCCTCCGCTGCCCCGCGTCCGGCTGTCAGCAGAAGCGCTGCTTTCGCTGGGCACCCAGTTCGCCGCGGCGGTCCCGCCGAGCCGGTACTCGATCGCGCAGCTGCAGGGGTACCTGCTGAGCTGGAAGAACGACCCGCAGGCGGCGCTGGCGGGCGTGGGCGGGTGGATGGAGCGGCAGCAGCGCGAGAAGCAGGAGATTGAGGAGATGAAGAAGCGCAGGAGAAGGGAGGCCGCGGCGAGGCGGGAGGCGGAGGAAAGGTTGGAGAGGGAGGAGGAGAGGAGGGCGGCGAGGGGCAGTGGGCAGGCGAGTGAGGATGGGGAAGTGGTTGTGGATAGTAAAAAGAAGGAGGAGGACAGTGGACAGACGTCGCCGGGGCTGGGTGTCCAGGAGATTGTTACAGGTTAGATATACTTATGACTTGAAGCGCTTTTACTGTTTTGTTATTGTGTTGGAAATGTTCTTGGTAATGGAAACATGAAATCATTTTACACCTTGACCACATTTTACAGTGTCAATTTTTGTGGATACATTGGTTTTTTGACAATAGAAACCTATTAAGTTATGTACCTTTGAAATTTACACCAGGTTTGCAAGAAATAGTTCCTCAGGAGGATTTATTTTCCACTGTCAAAAGCCCTGATGAATGAAAAGAAAGATGAAACACACTCAAAGTGGCCCATTCTTGTACTACAACACTTAGTGTGAATGATTACCAGGATATATAACAGACTAAGGTAAAAAAAATGGATAGTCCATTTTTTAAAATGAATAACGGGGTATCAATAACATATACTAAATAATTGGGGAGCCACAATATATGTTGCTCAGTAGCAGTATTTGTAGTTTCCTAAAAATTAAGGGAAATTCTATGAAAAAGGAAAGAGGTATCAGGGGAACCCCCCACTTCAGCCTTCTTCAGATCGTTCGAGTCCATCCACAGTGTGTCCAACTGGTGCTCCCTTGGACGCTCTGACCTACCCCGACCATCGTTCATGGCCTCCTTTGCCTGCACAATGACTAATCCATCAAGACCATCCCAACAATCATCTTGTTCAGGCCCTCTGCACTCTATGCCAGCAGTTACGGACAAAGAGAGAGGTAGCCACACCTCAAGTAAATATATTCATGCTCTTCTTACATGCAAAATATTCTATTCTCAAATGTCTATTTGTCTGGGCGGCGCACGCCGTTTAATACATGAGACATTACATGTGCGTGTGACACTATACTGGCAAGAGTTTCCGCTTTGGAATATCCTGTCGCTCCGGAACTTGGTGATGGCAAATACTGAACCCAAATCGGGATTTTTTTTGACTGGGCTTTGCCCGGTCCAAGGCCGGTCACCATCACAGAACGTCACATCTCCTTGATTCAGGGGCTATCCAGCTCACTGGAACCTCTGGTGGTCAGTATATACTGCAGTTAGGCTGTAGCTTAGAATCTTTACTAGCTATGCATGACACAACTATTTCTTACCATCTGCATTGAATCTAACAAATAAAATCAAGCTTAAAAATCTATATTGCCAAAGTGGCTCTGTAATAAAACTGGAAGTGGGAGGAGCAAAGTGCAGTTATCATAGGAAAGCCTGTGGCTAGCATAAGCCACCCTCTCAAATTCTCTACCCTGTCAAAAAAAAAAAAAAAAAAAGTGGCCAGCGGCGCAGTTGAATGCAGGCCTCCGAGAATCACGGAGGATCAAAGTCTGGCCCAAAACGGATATTCGCTGATGACAGCATCACACCATCACTATTACTGCAGTATTTGCCCACAACACTAGTCTCGTCCCCAGACATTCCAGTGGACTTCGAAAATCTCCGCAGGGAAATTTCGGAACAAGCATCAATGATATCAAAAATTTCGGGTAAGATCGGGCGATGGGAAGTCCACTGGAACGTCTGGGGCATTTCGTACCGTAGGCCGAGGATCTGTCACAATGTCACGTACTGTCACAGGCCAATAAATCCGTCTTTCCCTCCTTCTAGCAGGTTTGCGCTAGTGAGGACTGCGTTATGCATGGCTGGATGATATCAGTACCCAATATGCATCATTATCACGAAGAAAAATGGCTGAAAAGGCGTGTTCGACCGCGTCTAAACGCCGTCAATGGCCCTATATAGACCCTACAAAGTTCACCTCAAATGTACCACAAATCCCACATTTTTTCATGCAAATCGAGTTCCAGTGGCTGTGGAAGCCTCCCAATGCCACACTCCATGCCATTCTGGGGCTGAAGGAGCACAAGAAGGCTGAAAATAGAGGGCTGTGACAGACCCTCGGTCGCCTGTACGAAATGCCCCAGACGTTATAGAGGCTTTTCCCGCATCACACTTTCACAACAATTTTTGATATCACTTGAGATTGACAGATTTTGATGATATACCATTAGCCTGGTTCTATCTACTAGGATGGTGATGCGGAAAAGCTGCTGAACGTCTGAGAACGAGACTACCACAACACCAGTATTTAGCAGGATTATTGCACCTCCAATGCAGATTCTATTTCCCACAAATTTCTGTCTTATTTTCTGTGTTCATGCCTTTGTATCAACCTTGCCTTGGCCTGCGCTTAGTCAGACTCCATCCCCGCTGCCATCAGCTTGTTGTGAGCTAGTCCAAACCTTAGTCGGAGCCCTCAGCCCCTGGCAACATCTTTGTTTTGGTTGATGTCAGCCAGTAGGCTTGGTGCAAGCACATCCACACCGAGGTTTCAGCCAAAAAATGGTCCCCTAAGCAGAATTTACATATAAGAAATAGTAGTCCAAAACAACATCATTTTTTTGCTGCTTTAATTAATATGCAATATAGGTTGCAAAAATTGGATCTGATTTACAAGAAATTAAGTTCTGCATTGAGGTATCAAATATAGCATATTGTGACTACCCCCTTCCTGACCATGTTTTGTAGACAATAAGTGCACCCCATTTGAGCCCAAATATTTATCAAAAAATAGTGTCACATTTATTATTATCCCAATTTATCATATATAAGGGTGATTTGTCATATATAATGGCAATTTGTCACTCATTTCAAATATATCAGGTACATTTTGGTGCTGTCCCTGATTTTTTGATATATATAGTCTTATATCTGGCATATTTGGTGCATTTATTTGCTACAAATTGTAGCCACAAAATTGTCAGCTGATATTGGCTTTGAGTTGAGTCCAATCTGATAACTTAATATACACCTCAATTTCATACAAATCAAGTCTACTTTTCTGGCGTTTTATTTGTTATTTTTCCAAGTCATTAAAATATATATCTTTTTTGTCTATTATTGATCAGAAATAAATCCTACTTTGGGGCCCATTTTTGGGCAGAAACCCAAGTGTGATCACCAGGTCATATTTGTTATGCCAAACACTAATGTGAATAGTCTTTTTGTTATTCTTATATGCCCTGTGCAAATATAATATGGAATATTAGAACATGTCTTCACTTACTAACTGTCAACAACCATACCAACTTTGTCTACTCACATCCTCTAAATTTCTATTGTGCATAATAATAAGCTTCTTAAAAAGCTTGTATGAATTTTATTATTGAGTAGAAATGAGAGACAAGATTGATATCATTATTTATAACATAGAATCCAATTGGTTACATTTATAAGTAAACAAATTCCCTCCTACGATGGACTCAAAACCCTAGAAAATGGCAACCCAGTGCCAACTGTTTCTATCACTGCATATTTTCCATCTGTTTTCTGGCAATATATGTTCCTTCCAGTAAACAGTGTAAACCCATCATTCATTCTCAGTGGGATAGATTGTTCAATTGCCTCCTCCAAGGCATGTTTCCTATCTGACTCCAAGTCTGAAATAGTGTTGGAGCTTTCCTGTTGACAGTGCATAGGAATTGTAGGCAGTATTGCAGCATGTTTTAACATAGGCAAGCTGCTGATTGTCGATAGAAATTTCTGCTGTAAAGAGACAGACAATGAGTTCTAGATCTAATGGCACTAGAGAAAAAGCTTACAATGACAACATTGATCTCATCATCAGACTCTGCATTAGCTTTCACTTCCTTGCACTGTAAGTTGGCAGCCTTCTGCTCGACTGTGGTATGTGGGACCAGTTCTAATTCTTCTATATCCACACTCATCACAAGTGTCTGCAAGGCAGACAGTTGACCAACAATATCAGCATTGTGGTGCCCAAAGCTCCACTGTCCTACATATACTGCAGTCAACTTCAGGACCTGAAGTGAGCCAGCATGATGAGGAAGAACTTTGTGGAAGAGATCATGGACATGTCTTGACTTGTATGCTTCTTCATCTTCATCTGAGTTATAATCATCCTCAATCAACTGTGTAGTGTCAGAGAGATCTGTGATGACCAATACTTCAAGCCCAGTATATGACAAAAGATAGTCAACAAGCCCATTGTATAGCTTAGGCACATGGAGCTCCTTGAGGTGAATGGTTTGTTTGGAGTCTGTGAGTGTCCTCCAGAAGTGGAATTGGTGTTTCCTGTCTTCCGCAGCATAATAGGAATTAGTCCAGTCACTTGCACTTGTTTCAAATTGAGTCTGTGGATTGATTTGCAATGATTCCACCGGAAGGAATGTCAGTCCACGACCATGGAATGAAAACAGAACTTCACTGGCAACCAGTTTTCGGAGGTTGCCAAGGTCAGACCAAAGTTGTGAGTCAATAGTGTCACCATTTATGGTGAGGCAGGAAATGGCTTCTATTGAGCCAGCATATGCAAGGTAATATGAAAGAGTGCTCAGTGCATATCGTCGTGAGCTCTCCAGTGTCAGTGACTTCAAGTATTTAAATGTTGGCCAGTCAGCCCTCTTCTCCAGAGAGCCATGAGATGCAGTGATCCGGAAGCTAAGCTCTTGAAAGTTGGCACCTGATGCTTCCAGATGCTCAAGGATGGCAGTAATGGTATCTAGTGGCAGGTCCAGTGTAGCCCATTCAAAGCTGTACAAGTATGATTCAGTCTGAAAGTGAGTATGGATGGGTGTACCTTGCCGAGCGAGTGCCGGGCAATACTTCCAGTGCCTGCTTTAAGATTGGGCAGTTACGCTCCTCATTTTCCCATCGCCTATCAAGTAATGCATCCCGTAGCCGCCAGCCCTCCCGTTCATACTCGCGAAACTCTGCCGAGTAAACATCAGCTTCAATGGGAGGTCGCCAAAAGGCGGCCTCTGAATCGATGGTGTCCCGAAGCACGACTCGTATGCTGCGTGCCCACTTGCCCCAGCCTGTTCCGCCACCCACCACTTCCTCTAGCATTGCTCTAGTGCCGTCGAGAAGGCCCTCTGGGGAGAGCATGATCAGCAAGCAGCGAGTATATACGAGAATGGTGGGAGTGGGACTCGTGCCAGTCCCACTCCCAGTGCTATTTGACATCGGTTAGTGCATTTTGGTGGGACTTGAGCCATCAAACGAAGGTTTAGTGGGACTCGGTGGGATTAACATCAATGTGTCGGATCACTGTGGAAGTAAGTGTATTTGATGAGGTTGCGGCGCCGGCCGCGACGGCTGGGGTTTTCCACCCCGGACCCCGACCAGGGCTTTGCCCTGGACCTACCCTGCCGGGGGCTTCGCTCGCCGCGTGGCCCGCTGCGCGGAGCGTTGATTATTTTCCCTTGATTTTTTTAGGCTTTTCCCCCGAGTTTGAGGGTTTTTTTGATTGCGGCGCCGGCCGCGACGGCCAGGGTTTTCCACCCCCAACCCCGACCAGGGCTTTGCCCCGGACCCCACGCTGCCGCGGGCTGCCGCTCGCCGCGGAGGCTCGCTGCGCGACACCGGCCAAGTCTCTTTTCTGATCTTGCATCAGGGGACCTTGGAGACAATCACAGCAACCGCTTACGAGTCCCACTGTGTGATGCTTCAGTCCCACAGATCGGGTGGGAGTGGGACTGGCACGAGTCCCACTCCCACCATTCTCGTGTACCCTCGCAAGGAGCTGAAGAACGCCCGCGCCATGACCCCGTTCATCATCTTGTTGACGCCACGAAGTGTTGAATGCTCGCCTGGGCAATAGGCAGTGATCTCAGAGAGGAGCTCAGCGGGGAGCTTGGAGAAGGACATGGCCGCGTCTGGCAAACGTTAATGAGGGGTGACAATAACAGGCAGGCCACCTTATATACCTATTGCCCACAGCCACAATGACTCCTTGTGGACGCAGGATGGAGAATAATAACTGCCTTTCGGAGTCATAAGGACGAAGTCAGCATAACAAGAGCTCATCAAAACTGAAGTCCACACTGGCTACATGTCTGTGCGAACGATCATTTTACACATTACTTGCGGGTTGTAAACACAAGACTGGACTTCCCTTAAATTCTACCAGACTCACGATACGACCTGGTCAAAGCTTCGAAAGGAAATCACACATTCCATCATCCGTGGCGCCGTCACACATCTCTCTTTCCTCTTGTCCACCATGTCGCACGACGCGTACGAAAGCGACACTGGCGATCGCGACATACCCAGCGTCGACAACTTCCTCACGAACACGCCTGTCGAGCGGCGCATTTTCCCCGCCAAACGGTGAGGCTTCTCACGCTTATCATCTCCCCGCAAACTGAGCACAATGAGCAGCAAAAAGGCCCTCAACCGCCGTGGCCGCGCGATCTGTCGCATCGCATACGCACATGACTTCCCCATCGCGCAAATCGCGCGCATTTTCGGTGTGGCGTACCCCACCGTGGACCACACCCTGCAAGAATTCCGCCAGTACCACCTGTACGACCAGCCCGAGAACGACTACTACTACGCCGGTGAGGAATGGGCCAAGGCATTCCCGCGCAAGGAAGAGGAGGTCGAGAAGGAGCGGAAGAGAAAGTTGGGAAAGCGGCAGGGCGAGAAGATTGTGAGTCGCTCTTTTTTTCTCTCTCTTTTGCTCCCGGGCAGGAAGGGGACTAAACCGAATAGTCACTGTCAACAGGACGCAGGGTAGGCAAGCGGCCACGGTATTCTTCTCCGAAGAGCGATCCAGACGACGACGAGGGTGATTCAAGTTCGGCCTCGGATGGCGAAAACGACTGGGACACCGACTCTGGCTCCTCGTTGTCTGCATGTGAACGGTCCGACGCGGATGAAAACCAAGACTCTATTCCCGACCCCCCCGCTATTCCCAAACCCCCGCCCTCGTTCGTTACGCCGCTGGAGCCAGATAAACCGAAGCGACCAACTGTGAAGAAGCCATTTATGACAGGCTACCCGTCGCCTACCCCGTCCTTCCGAGAAACTTCCGCTGGGACACAGGCGCCAACAGGTGGCAGCAGCTCGCAACAAAGTCCAAAGCCAAAGCTTATACGTCGCCTTCCTGCAGTAACTCATCGCCCACCTGCCACCTCCGCGAATGACGGCTCTACCCTGACGGACTTCCTCTCCCGCATCACTATCCCCGGGACGAATCTCAACACGCCTGCGCACATCGAGCTCTTCACCTTGCAAGGGCTGACCATCGATCGACTGAAAGTGATAGCCCGCTGGCCACGCGACGACCTAACAAAAGGACTCCGCCGACTTTTGCTGCGGGGGCCAAACGACGCTGCTGGGACGAGGCTGGACGTGTTTGAGGTGGCAATGCTGGAACACGCGGTTAGAAAACTGGCGGGATCTCATGAAGTGGGCCTTCTCTTCCGTATTTCTTTTTTGTGCTCATCTTCCTTTGCAGGCGAAACCCTTCCCATTAAGCAACATACACGACTCGCCGTCCCTGCAGCACTTCCTCCACTCAGTCTACGCGCTCGACCTTTCCGCACACCTGCAGCTTTTCGTGGCGAATGCATATACGCTCGAACGGCTCAGGGCACTGAGTGTTGCTTTTGCGGAGTCGTCGGCCGATGAGCTGGGGAGCATCCTTGAAAGCGGACTCGGCCGTCGACGAAATGCTGGCGCCTCGGCTGGAATGGCGCCTCTCGAGTTACTTGCACTGGAATTTGCGTTGCGGAGCACCAGCGCGGGCAATATTCAATCTTGATGCTCGAGGTTTGGATTATTACTAGAGAAGAAGGGAATGGTTTGTTCTTTCGTTATCATCCGCTGCATTGGCTGGCTACATCATTGGATTTGTACATTCCTAGTAAGTTGTGGATTGTTGTTGTACATATACTCGATGTTGAATACAGAATTCTTCTTGGGACAACAAATACTCGTCGGAGGGCAGTACATTCAAATTCTTCGATCCTGTGTTCCAATACTGAACGCGATGAGCGAGCGCTACGCGTAAAGTTCGTGCGCCAAAATTGTCGCGTCCTGTCGACGAGGAATGAGCACTAGCATTCTCCAAGAAAGGGAGCTCACCTGAACATATGGATCCTTGTGCAGTCCGAGCTCCCGGGCGGACTCCGCCGTGTTCCCCAGCACCAGCAGTGGGGCCGCGTTTACGTGACCCGCGGCAAGGAGTATCAACAGGCAGAGAGTACCGCGCAGCATTAAGATCTCCCCGTCTGGCGCGTTCAACGTTCCGAGGGGAATTCTTCTTGTAAGAAATCGACAAAGGGATGAGGAGGGGGGGAGGGGACTCGGATAGGCGACCTGGCCTGAAATCGCTGCTCACTGACCTGACGACTTCCTTAAATGACGGGATAGCGGGGAGGCGGCGGGTGTGTTCGTGTTGACGGTTGTCGTTGTGGTGATCATCGTTCCCGCGGGACACGTTGTCCCACTTTCCTCAGTGACGCGTACCACTGTGACTACTAGCGTGACTAGTAGCTCGTGACTCAGCGGCTTGGCGCTCTCCTTTTCCAATGGGCAAACGAAACATCCGCGGCGACCTGAACCTCTCCCGCCTCACCCCCATGTTCCCCGTCACCTCGAGTCGCTCGGCAGCCTACGTCCTTGGTCCCCAGGTGCGTTCCCCCTCCTGCGACGGCAGTGATTCGGCGCTGACAGGCCACAGCTTACGGGTGCATGCATTGGCGCGCTCCTTACAGGCGTTATCGCGCACCAGTTTTCCCGGTACATCGTGCGCTACCCTGCCGAGCGCCGTGGGCTCCGGGCGTATGTCGGCCTGCTCATGCTGGGTACCGTGGCAACGACAGTTCTGGACTTGTACGTTTTCACCGCTTGGTCGCTGGTGTTTGAGTCCCATTTCATGCAGCCTCGGCTCGTGGCAGAAGATCGTCCTCGGCGCAGTGTTCTTCGGGACGCCGGACATACAAATCACTGGGTCCAACTCCATGCTTGTGCGTTCGTTTGCCCGCTGTCGCTGTCCCTCACCTACCGCTAGCCCGCATTCTTAGCGATATACGTCCAGAGCTTTTATCTACACAGACTATACCGGCTGTCGAACCGCAACTGGCCGCTCGTCGGCCTCCTCACGGGCCTCCTCGTTCTCGCGTTCTCCTTCAGCATCGCCGCAGTAAGTGGTTTCTTGTGCTTAAAGCTGTCAGTATTCATGCGACCCAGGTCAGTGGGCGTCTAACTCCGACGGCGATGGCTGCAGCTGATAATGCGAAGAGTTTACGCCTCTGTGCGTTAACCTGATGAAGAAAGAGTTAGTGCTGATCAGTACATTAGACAACCTGCATCTTGCATTTATCCTTGGTGTGTCTATTGTTTTCTCAAACCAAATGGGACTGACTAATATGCACCAGTGGGCGACTTTTTGCTCACACTCACAACGGTAGGATACCTGATCTACTACCGCAAGCGCGTCCTCCCGCGCGGCGCCTCGCTGATGACCACGCTCATCCGCGTGACGTTCCAGTCCGCGGCGCCTGCCACTTGCTGGTCTGTTACTCTTTTCTCTTCCACCGCCCGTTACTGACCTGCTCAGCGTGATCGTCGAGTTCGCCATCTCCATCAGTTTCCCAAACCCCGCGTATGCACCGGTGGCCCGCGTCTCCGCTGCCGTCGGCACGAACATGGCGCTGTCCAAGCTGTGGGCGGTGTCCCTGCTCGGCACGCTCAATTCGCGACCTGCCGCAGAGCCGCGGAAGGATGCGAGCGACACGTCAGTTGGGTGGCAGAGCCTCGGTGTCGTCGGCCGCCGCAGTCGAAGCAGCAGCGCGGCAAGTGCGAAAAAGGACTTTCGTCTTGAAATACGGACGCATACGACGTCCTCGGTGCGTGTCACCAAACTTTCAATTTTTGGGACGAGGCTGACAAACATGCAGGTTGTACGCGATCCGGTCGTGCAAGTTTCATCGCCACCGGCAATGCCAGCCGCAGAGAGTCCGGATAGCAGTCCGGCAAGGCGATTGGTTGTGTTACCTGGGCCACCGGTGCAAGGCCCGGGCGAGCGGGAGTGGGCGAGCTGGGAGTGAAGCGAATTTGGAGCTATAAGTGTATGATTAGTTTTGTAGTACTAGTGCTGGCCAAATACAAATATAATATGGAATTGACATATTATATTATATTCATATCATATTTGCATACTTGGGAGAATATTATATTTGTAGTATACTATATTCATATTTCCTCTCAGATATTCGATATGAGATGAATATATTCAAATATAATGTATTGATTTCAAATGTCTGCCAAACTCACCTTTAGCCATTCCTTGGTAATGATACCAATTGACACTGTCTTTATACTTGAGGCAAAAAGATACTGTAGTATTTTGGTCAATTTTATGGGCCAGTGATCTGTGACACCTGTAACAGAAATGTGCAACTGTCAGGGGAACCCCCGCTTCGGCCTCCTTCGGACCCTCCAAACGCATCCGAGGCGCATCCGACCGGCGCCCCCTCGGACGCTCCGACCCACCCCGACCATCGTCCACGGCCTCCTTCGCCCGCACAATCACCGATCCGTCAAGACCCTCCCAACGATCACCTTGGGACAGAGCCTGCGAGCCGCCCAGGCCTTCTGCGCTCTACGTCGGCAGTTACGGACGACCAGTATATAGTTGGCGCCCTAGCAGGCGGACCCTTAGAGTTTCTTCTCTTTGGATCCTCCCCTGCTAGGTCGGTCCCTCCGTGTATTTCCTGTAGTCTTATTCACGCTTTGGATCCTCCCCTGCTAGGCTTTCGTCGGAGTCTCCAGGGTTGCCCTTACAGCAGAAGAAACTCTCTACGGGATTAACCGGTCAAGATTGCCAGGTTTGGTGCTGACTCAGGCTCGGAGTACGAGTCCGTACCCCCTCGTCACCGCCCCTGCCACTTGACCCCTCCTCCTCTGCTCTTGTCGTCTTTACGCCCGCTATGTCTACCGGAGCTGCTCCGGACGCTGACGCGCGCATGGACGCCACTTGAGGCGAAACTAGACAACCTCACCAATATCCTCACCCACCTTGCTTCCCAGGCTTCCGCTGCCGCACCACCTCCGGCAGCTCCCGAACCGCCTTCGGCATCTCCGAATGCCCCCGACGCGGATGCGTTATTTGGTGACATTACTGTCGCCTCAAAACTGGTCTTACGACCAAACCCCCCGTTTGCGTTTAACGGAGATCGCAAAACGCGGCCGCGCCTTCCTATACGCGGTCAAAACCTACGCTCGGCTTGCCCCGGAGGCCTTCGTAGTTAACGGAGAGCCGAGCGAAGAAAAAGCCGTCCGCTACGCCATGTCCTATATGGCGGAGGGACCCGCTCAGCAATGGGCAGAGCATCATGGGAGCAAAAACCCCTTCCCCTTCCCTCGGTGGAGCCAGTTCCTCTCCGAGTTTCGCCTTCGGTTCGGTTCGTCGAGGAGAACGAACAGGACCTCGCGCTCGCTAAGTTGGAAAGCGCGGGTTATCACATGGGAACGCGGGATGTCTACGGATATACCGACGACTTCGAGGACTTGATGGACCTCGCTGGCTTCAAGACGCGCGTTGGTTAAGGTAACCAAGTACCGCCACGGACTTGACCCCTTGATCAACAACGGCATCACCTCTTCGAACGACCCCCCAGACCTCCGTGACTATCTGGGCTGGCGCACTCGGGCCTTCCGACAATATGAAGCCCTGGTGCGAGCGAAGCTCATTAAGGGAACGGCTACCCCGCGGACCGCTTCGGGAGCTCCGCGCAGCGCCTTCCCCATCACTCGTTCGGCAACTCCGTTCCCCATCCGCCCGGTGGCCCCGCCTGTGCCACCCGCGGCCCGCGCCCCCGTCCCGGTACCTCCGGCTCCCGTCCCTATGGAGCTGGATCGTACTAGGGCTCGGGGTGCCCCTCGTCGAGCCTGCTTCAGATGCGGCGACCCCAGCCATTTGGCTCGGGACTGTCCGCTCCCCGCCCGACGTCCGCCATGTGGACATCCTCGACGAGGTAATCCAGCAACTTGGCGATGAGATGCTGGGAGAGCTGCTTGCGCGGTTGTCCGATACTGCGGCCTTAGCGGAGGCGCATTCGGAGGCTCCGGCAGAGGATTTTGTCCCCCGCGACGAGTGACTGGTGTGCCCTCGTTCGCGTCCATAAATCGTTTCACTTGTTTGTATGATGAATCAACTCCCTTGCCCTACAACGAGCCCGAAACGAAAGACGCACCCTCTGCCCCCTCCGAAGCCCCCGTTCGGATTCGCCGACTTGCCTGGGAGAAAAAGCTACCTGGCAGTTATACCATCTCTGCCGCTCCTGGCGTTAACTCGCTGCACCTCCCCCTTGAACTTGAGTCCACTGCGAACGCGCTCAAGCTCTCCCTCTCGGGTCTGGTCGACTGCGGAGCTACCCGGACTTTATCGACACAGAATATGTCAACCGGAATAATGTGCCAGTCCGAAATCTCTCAGTACCCATCCCGGTCTACAACGTCGACGGCACCCCCAATGATGCTGGGTCTATTCGCCAAATCGCGGACCTCGTTCTACGGTACAACGGACACTCCGAACGCGTTCAGCTGGCTGTAACCCACCTTGGGAAACAGGACCTGATACTCGGATACTCCTGGCTCAAAAAGCATAACCCCGAGATCAACTGGGAAACAAAGGAGGTGAAAATGAGTCGTTGCCCCCGCATCTGCTCTACCTGCCGGGACGAAGAGCGGACCGAAGCGCGCTGAGGTTCGGCGGCTCCGACTCCTTAAATCACGACTACTTGCGGGCGCCTTCCCCACTGTTTGCGCTATCGATATCGCTGGCCCAGATGATGCTGACGACGAGCTCGGAGCTGCCTGGACCCTCCGGAGCCCTCACCAGATCTCGACGGCGACGAGCATCTTGAAGACGGCGACCGCATCTTCTACACCTCCTTTCGCCCAGTTGAGGAGATCCCGCTGGCAGTACAGTGTCCCAACGCCTTGCAGAGGCCTTCGCCCATAACTCGGCCCCTCCGCCTTGGAGATCCCGGACTGGGCCAAGGAGTTCCAAGACGTCTTCGACAAGGAGTCCTTTGACACGTTACCAGAACGAAGGGCTTGGGACCACGCTATCGAACTCGTCCCCGACGCGAAGCCCGCTAACTGCAAGGTGTATCCGATCTCCCCCCTCGAACAGCGCGAACTTGACGAGTTCATCGAGGAAGGACTTGCCACAGGCCGTATTCGCCCTTCGAAATCTCCGATGGCCTCCCCCGTCTTCTTCGTTAAGAAAAAGGACGGAGGGCTTCGGTTTGTCCAGGACTACCGCGCCCTCAACGCAATGACGATTAAGAACCGGTACCCCCTTCCGTTGATTAACGACCTTATCAACAGGCTCAAGGGCGCTCGTTACTTCACCAAACTCGACGTTCGCTGGGGTTTTAATAACGTCCGGATTAAAGAAGGAGACGAGTGGAAGGCGGCCTTTCGGACTAACCGAGGGTTGTTCGAACCTTTGGTGATGTATTGCGGCCTGACAAACTCCCCGCGACGTTCCAAACGATGATGAATGACATTTTCCAGGATCTCATTCTTTCAGGCGACGTTATGATCTACCTCGACGACATCCTTATCGCACATTCGGACCTCCGCAAGCACCGCGAGATCGTCCGGGAGGTCCTTCGGCGGCTCGAATGCACAAGTTGTACCTTCGCAAGGAAAAGTGCGACTTCAAGAAATCGTCAATCGAGTACTTGGGGGTCATTATCTCGCACAACCATGTCGAAATGGACCCCGTTAAGGTCGCCGGAGTCTCCGCATGGCCTCCGCCCGAAAACAAGAAGGACGTTCAGCAGTTCCTGGGGTTTGCTAATTTCTACCGCAGGTTCATTCGGGATTTCTCGGCCCTAGCGCAACCTCTCTTTGCGCTCACCAAGAAAGACCAGAAATGGACCTGGGGAGACGCCCGGCCACCGCCTTTCAAGCCATCAAGGACGCGGGTCGTATCAGAACCTGTCTTAGCGATCCCGGACGACTCTCGGCCTTTCCGACTTGAAGCAGACAGCTCAGATTATGCGACGGGGCGGTTCTTTCACAACAATCCGCCCCGGACGGGAAGTGGCACCCTGTAGCGTTCTATTCCAAAAGCTTAAATGATGTCCAGCGCAACTACGAGATTCACGACAAGGAGATGCTCGCGATCATCCGCGCACTCGAGGAGTATCGGCATTTCCTCGAGGGCGCCGCGCATCCGGTTGAGATCTGGACTGACCATAAGAACTTGGAATACTTCCGAAAGGCGCAACACCTTAATCGTCGGCAAGCCCGATGGTCGTTGTACCTTTCCAGGTTTGACTTTACGCTGCACCACGTCCCAGGTCGCCAGATGGGCCGTCCCGATGCTCTCTCCCGCCCGGCCTGACCACGGTATCTCCGACGACATCTCGGATGTCACCCTCTTACGCCCGAACTGTCCCGTCGCGCGCTTGAGGCCGTCACTGTCTCTGGGCCTGGCTCCGAACTTGTCCGCGACATCAAGGAAGCGCTATCCGGTGAGCCTGACCTAGAGGAGCCCGTCGCGCTTGCGGCTCGGCAACTCTTGAAGGTCCGAGGTCAAGCTCGGGGCCCCCGCTCATCGCGTTCGGACGAGTGGGCCGTCTCAGGCGACCTCCTGTACTTCCGCAGCAAGGTCGTAGTCCCCAAAGACAAAGACCTGAGGAGGCGCATTATAGAGCTCTGCCACGACACGCGTGTCGCCGGACATGCCGGGCGGTTCAAGACCCTGGAGTTGGTTTCGCGCAACTACTGGTGGCCACAGATGTCCCGCCATATCGGACGCCACGTCGCGACCTGCGACTTATGCTGTCGTCACGAAGGCCCTCCGAAGGCTTCCGCACGGGGAGCTACATCCGACCGAAGTCCCCCGAGCGCTGGCACACCGTCACTGTGGACTTCATCGTCGAGCTCCCCGAGGCCCATGGGTATGACGCGGTTATGGTAGTGGTTGACGCCCTCGGGAAACGCGCTCACTTCACCGAATGCCATACGACAATAGACGCGGTCGGAGCTGCCCGCTTGTACTATCGGAACGTCTGGAGACACCACG